TATTTGGTAGATGTCTGTTAAATCTAGTTGATCTATGTAGTTGTTTAGATCTGCGGTTTCTCTATTGAGTTTTTGCAGAGTTGGTCTATCTAGTGGGGATAGTGGTGTGTTAAAGTCCCCAACAATTAATGTCTTTGGATCTATGTGAAATTTGAGGGAAAGTAGTGTTTCTTGGATAAATTTGGGTGTTCTGTTGTTTGGCAAATAGAGATTTAGAATTATAATATCCTCCTGAAGGAGAGATACCTTAATTAGTATGTAGTGACCTTCTTTATCTCTTCTCACTAATTTTAATTTGAAGTCTATTTTATCTGATATTAGGATTGCAACTCCCACCGGTTAATGGGGGCCATTTGCTTGGTAGATTTTGTTCCAGATTTTGACTTTCAAAATGTGTTTGATTTTATGGGCAAGGTGTGACTCCTGTAGGTGGCAGATAGAAGGATTTTGCTTTTTAATCCAACTAGACAGTCTATGTCACTTAATTGGATAGTTAGTCCATTAATGTTGAGAGATAGGACTGAGAGGTATTTTGGAGTTCTGCCATTTTGTCCACCTACTTGGGGGCTGTGGCAACTGGGTTCTTCATATGGTTCTTGGAATCTCAGTTTGGGTACAGTTTCTTGGCTTTTATTATGGTCTTGTTGATTTTGTTGTTCCTTTTAAGTGTAGGACATCTTTAAGTATCTTTTGTAGGACTGGTTTGGTAGAGATATATTGTTTCAGCTTCTCTTTGCTATGGAAGGTTTTTATTTGACCTTTGGTTATGAAGGAGAGTATAGTAGCTGGGTATATAGCTGGGTATAGTATTCTTGGTTAATAGTTGTTTGTCTTTAGGGCATGGCATACATCATTCCAGACTCTTCTTGCTTTAATTGTCTCTGCTGAGAAATATAAGGTGATTCTAATTGGTTTCCCTTTATAGATGATTGATCTTTTCTCCTTGACAGCTTTAAGGATCTGTTCCTTGGTCTGAATTGATCCTGTGAGGATTATAATGTGACGGTGGGATATCCTGTTCTGGTTTGATCCACTTGGGGTTCTAAAAGCTTCTTGTATCTTAATAGGCCTATCTTTTTGCATGTTTGGGAAGTTCTCTGCTAGGATCCTGTTAAACAAATTTCCTAGACCATTAACTTCTGTTTCTAGGCGCTCCTCTACACCCATTATCCTTAGATTAGGCCTTCTGATGGTGTCTTCCAAATGTTGAATAGATCTATTATATGTCTTGGATTTGTCTTGGATAGTTGAATGTTCTTTCTTTATAATATCTAAGCTGTTTTCAATCCCCAAGATTCAATCTTCTACATGATCTAACCTACTGTCAAGACTTTCTACTTTGTTTTTTATTTCTTCTCTTTCTAATTGGTCAGCTTTGATGGCATCAAATTCTTTATTGGAGCTTTGTTTTAGATCTTGTATGAACTTCTTTACTTCCTTAATTTGGTGGTCAGTGTTTATTCTCAAATCACTTAGTTGATTGGTTATGGTTTCCTTGGACTCCCATTCCTTCTGTCAAGTTCCACTCAGCATTCCATTTGTAGTCTCCCTGAATTCTTTCAGCTGTCTGTTTAAGGATTCCATGAATGCTTCTATTGATCTTTGTCTATTCTCTCCCACTCTCGAAATTCCTGTATTACTCTTTGATTAGCTTCCTCACGTTCACGCAATTTCTGTAGTTTTCTTTGAGTGTTCTCAGCCTGCTCGCACCATTCCTGACTTTCTCTTTGTCTGTTCTCAGCCTGCTCACACAATTCCTGTCTATCTCTTTGACTGTTCTCAGCCTGCTCATGAAATTCCTTTATTTCTCTTTGAGTGTTCTCAACCTGCTTTTGAAATTCCTGTACCAATCTTTGAGTAGCTTCCTCATGCTCATGAGATTCCTGTATTGATCTTTGGTTTGCCTCCTCTCTCTCCCTATCATGCTCACACTGAGTCCTTTGCAGGTTTTCAATCTTTTCATTGACCATGTTTACCAGTAGTGTTTGTAGAACCTTTTGAGAACTCTCCTCTGGATTATTCATTATCTGTTCTGTCACCTGATTATCATGAGTGGGAGTTGAGATACCTGGATTTGCCATTTTTCTTGTGTTTTTTTCCAGCTTGTTCTGCCCATTTGGTATGAAAGTAACACCACTTTTGTGCTAGAATATTATTTTAAGGCAAGCATCAACCAAAGTCCTGTAGTTGCACACTAAAAGAGCTGCAGATACAATCTAGTTCAACAGACACAATCTATTCAACATCAAACAACTATGGATTAATGGGCTAAGAACAGCAAAGAAGAATTTGGCAATCCAGAAATTATTAGGTTTCGGGGGAAATGTGGGGAAAAATAGGATTAGAGGGACGTGGAGAGGTAAAAGGAGAGTGAAATTAACCAAGTCCTAATCTCAAAGAGGGAAAATGATTGGACAGAATGATAGGAGAGAGAGAAAAAGAAAAAAAGAGAGACAAGAAAAAATGGAAAAACAAAAATTTAAATTTAAAAAGAGACTTAAAATTATCTAAGTTTAAAGGTGAAATTGGGAGAAGAAAGGGATAGGATGAGAAGAGAGGAGGGATAGAAAGGAGACATGAAAAACTAAAAAATAAAAATTCTTTAAAAATTATATAGGTATAAAGAGATAATATTGCTATTAAAGAATTTAAGCCTAAGAGGTTTTGAATTGAGTAATAAATTTCTGGATTAAGTGTGTATACAATGGAGGATAAGGTCTATTAATCAATGACAGGTGTATATCTGAGGATGAGCAGAACAGCAATTAAGTCATGCAAAAAAGAATGAAAGAGAAGAAAAAAATGAAAACAATGAAAAAAGGGGGAAAAAAGGACCAAAAGGTCAGTAGAGATAAAAAAAAATAAGCACACACACATACACCTAAAATAAAAATTATGAGAGGGGAAAAAAAGATTAATAGAAAAAAAATTAAATTAAAAAATTTTTAAAAGGTACCAAAAAGAGAGTTCTTTGATTTTTTATTTTGGAGGGGGGGTTGAATGGGAAGATCCTGTATCTCCCTTGTGTCCATAACCTCTTAGTGGAGTCTCTGGCCTGCTTGTGGTGTTTGGTTTTCCTGTGGTTTGATTGGTTTCTTAAGTCAGTTTGTTTGAGCAGGCAGAAAAATGTTCTGCTTTACCCAGGATTTTATTATCCTCCTCCCAGGCTAGTTCAGTGGGAAGGAGATCTGCTTTGAATATCACAAAAGAGGGAGATGGCTGTTTCCTCTAGTTTGGATATGCTGTGATGAGGCTAGGTTCTGGGTAGGGTTGAGGCCTTTCAGCAAATAGTAGCTTTCCCCTGAGAGGCTAGCTTCTGAGACACTCACAGAGCCCAGCCTGGAGCCATTCTCAAGGATTTCAGTTGATTGTCTAGGCTGCTGTAGGGAGGGGCAGCCTCTGCCTCTGTTTACCCGGTGAAGAAAGTCACTCCTCGAGGGGTGGTGCCATCTCTGCTTGGGCTGGGTGACTTTCCCCTGGGGTGCAGCTGAGCCTGGCAGGTCAGGTCAGGTTCCTGTGACCTGCTAAATGACTCTTTCTTTTTTTCTTCCAAGGCCTGAGTTGGAGCTAGCTGCTCAGCCAGGCCTTTGTCAGTATCAAAGATGGAGATCTCCTGTGGTGGGAGGGGTGGGGTGGCCTTCCCTCCTCTGCTCCCTGAGAAGGAGTGAGGATATCAGGGTTCTACTCATGCTGGAGTCTTGGTTCCTGGGTGGTCTCTGGTCTGCGATCTTCAGGATAAAGATATCTGCTCCTTGTCAGTTCTGGCTGGTGTTGAGTAGAATCCGCTTACCTGCTTCATCTGGCACGTTTGTCCTGGACTCTCTCTGTTGGCAGCTACGAACAAGTGCTCAGATCTGTCTCCTTGCTTGGATTTTCCCTCTCTGGCCAAACTCTCTGTACTGTGATGGCACACTTGGTGTAATTCTCTGGCCTAGGACTGTTCAGTGGAACACTAAAACTGCTTTCTATGTGAGAGCTTGTTTAGCCTCCATCTTCTCTTCTGCCATCTTCCTAGTATCCTCCACCTTTCTTCTTAAATGTGTGTTTAAACTCAGAGGAAGTTAATCATCTGGATGAACCCAACAGAAACAACATAATAAAAATCTCACTGTTGAAAATTCAAAAGACTTTCATGGAGAAGGTAATAGCTAAAAGATAGACCATGGCTTTTGTGCTCATGTAGACTTGGGTTTGAATCATAGTTCTAATTCTGTAATTCACACAAACTTTGAAACATCAATTGTTTCAGACACCGAATAAAAATAATGTTAATTTCCTAATAAAGTTGATATAAGCATTCTGTTTAATGTTAATATAGTACTTATAAGATCACCTGGGTCCTCAAAAAAGAATCAAATAAGACAATGGCAATCCAATTGTAAATCAAGGCAGGATTCCAATGAAGGATGATTCCTCATTGGCAGAGAATGAAGCAGTGATTCATGTCAGAAAACCTTGAGGACTAGGCAGCCAATAATTATTTGAAGAATAGAAATCCTTGTAGGTCATTCCTCTTTGTTGTCTTCAGGTCCAATCTAAGGTCCCCAAGCATTCCCAGATTAAAAACTTCAAAGTACAGATGAGTAGAAAGTAGAAAGAAAGCCAGACAGAAAGCCAAATAGAAATAGAAAGTACAGAGGAGTTTAAATCCTTAAGGGCACCCGTTAACAAACAGAGCAGGCACCTGGTGGATACATGCCCACCCTAGCCTTCTTTGCACAAACAACTGTGTTTTATTACTGGAGTACAGTTGTCTACAATGGGATTAATCTCAATAACATCTTTATTTTGGCTTTTCCTCCTCTGTTACATTCTCCTGTACATCCACAATCCTGCTTCCTGGGTTCACTTCCAAATAAATAACCTCTACCTAATCTTAAGCCCTTGTCTCAGACTACTACATCTTGAGAAATAAGGACATGGGTGAAGAAGAGGATGGTTATTTTTTATTTATTTTCATTTGTGTTTGTACTACTATATTTCTCTCTATTTCTTTGTAGGTCACCAAGATGCTGGCAGTGGTTGTAATTTTATTTGCCCTTTTATGGATGCCCTACAGGACTCTTGTGGTTGTCAACTCATTTCTCTCCAGCCCTTTCCAAGAAAATTGGTTCTTGCTCTTTTGCAGAATTTGCATTTATCTCAACAGTGCCATCAACCCTGTGATTTACAATCTCATGTCCCAGAAATTCCGGGCTGCATTCAGGAAGCTCTGTAAGTGCAAGCAAAAGCCAACAGAGAAACCCAGTAACTACAGCGTGGCCCTAAATTACAGCGTCATCAAGGAGTCAGACCATTTCAGCACAGAGCTGGATGACATCACTGTCAGTGATACCTGCCTCTCTGCCACCAAAGTATCTTTTAATGACACCTGCTTAGCTTCTGAGGTGACCTTTAACCAAAGTTGACTCATGAATTAGAAGAAAATGAACCACTAAGTAAATGAGAATCTGTTCAGTTATCATACACAACAGAGGAAATAACCAATACATACATGTGAAAACAGAGCAGATAGAATGTAATACTCTTCCAAGTATTGGCCATAGATATTTAAACTCACCCAAACAGTGGAGGCTTTTTTTTTCTTACAAAACTAGCATCACAAAAATGAAGCACATCAGTGGAAGAGCTACCTAGGGAAAACTGAAAGCAAAATCCCTTTCATTTAGTATGGAGGAAATCACTATATTTTGTGTGGTTTCAAAACAGAAAGTACATTTACTCAGTAAAAATGAGATTTCAGACATGTCCACTTTATCAAAAAAATTGTTAGGCTGTTTATAAAATTAAAGGGTGATTTTTATATTGTACAAAGTAGATAGCCATTCAACTTTAATGTAAATCAAAATTCAAAATAGCTAAAAATATAAAGTGAGGTGGCATGTGGGTTTCATCTTGATATAAATCAAGATCTTTATCAACTCTTTAAGCTTCCTAAATTGACATGCAAAGCCAATACAGCGCCAAGAATTTAAAGTGAAATTTTTTTTTGCTTTTTTATCTGAAACTTTCAAGGAAAACAATTCTTTTTGAACATTTTTGTATATAAGCCACTGAGGCATGTCAAGCATATTCTTCTAGCTGACTGTAGCTTAAAAGTCTGAAGCAATCTCAAAAGCTTAGTTGCTATTCTAAATCAGCCGATATCTCGCTATTACACTTGAAGATGAAGACCTCTCGCTGAACCTTGTAGTCAATAGATTTTCACATGCCTGCAAACGTCTTTCTTTCTGATTGTTATTTGAGGTTGATTTGTTTTCAGAGGCTAGTTATATTTTGTTACAGATTATGCATCCAAAGTAATGTAGAAGTCTATTGATTTCATTTTAGTAGAGTTATAAGTGATTTCATCCTGTTTCCAGCTTCTCATGCTTCTAGTTTTGCCTGTGACTGCTATTCCAGAAATTATTAGACAGCTGTGAATAAGAATCTACCCAGGACATTAGACAGGTCCTACTTAAATCACTCTCAAATGACTCACCTACTGAGATTTGGCAGGTCAGATCTCCCAGGGTAGAAATTGCCCTTGGTTATGGTTCAGAATTATTGATTTTTTAACAATTGGAGTGAAAATTGTCTGCACTGAAAGCTGGCATTTTCTCCTCTCCTGACTATATCTCTATGTCATGGATTTCTTTTCTGAAATCTAATTATTATTAGTAATCTATCCCTCCCCACCTACTTAATTAAGTATATGCTCTGTTTTGGAAGCTTCTGTTTTGAAATCCTGCTTCATGAAGAATTTACCTTCCAGAACATTCCAGATTATGAAAACTCATCTACTTCAGGAAGAAATTCTTATCCTGTGATCTATCACAATGTCATCATCGTATCTGATGCAAGCAAATATTTACAGAAAAAATACTCTGAAAGTTCATTTGTATGACATTAAACTATCATTTTTAACAAATTTCATTCCAAATCAATGACTTTTCTTGTCATTATAAATAGGCACTAGAATGACCAAATGACATAAGTACATGTACAGATACACACATACACACATATGCATAAATTAACAGGTGATTGGAATAAACTATACTTTATTCATTAGGGAAAGGAACTAATATTTTTGCAGAGAAATTGACTTAATTCTTGGGCTTGGGGATGCTAACTGCTAAGAAACAAATGAGTATGAACTTCTTTAGAATGTCTTGGACTGTTATTGATAAATCTGGAACTGAAGAGAAGAAGAAAACATACATGACTTTATAGGAAGACTCCACCTAAGCAGAGTACTGCATTCAGAAGTCAATAAGAATACTTTCTGAAATGGCACAAGATGCCTCAGTAAGAAAGCTAAATATTTACTAGAGAGGAATAATAAATCACCTTGTTTTGGTACCCACAAATCACGTGTAATCTCATCTTAAAATGTACTTTGTCTGTCTTTGTCCTATAATATTTTCATTTATTACATGATTTCCATGCCTAAAGTTCTTTGAGCATCCCCTGAAAGCCACTATGTTCTAAGTCTCTGTGTTAGATCATCAAGATTCGTAGTTATAAAGTAAATCCTAACAACCAACTAACCAGAAACTTCCACAAGGGTGACTCCATTTTTCATTTTTATTCTATAGATTATCTAAATTTAGATGGTGTCTCTAATTTTCAGTTAAATGAATGAATGAATCTCCAGCTAATGAATACATTCTGAAATCACTTCAGTTGTATGATTTCAGAATACAAACAACTAAATTCTTCACTGGAGAGAGTATCAGGGAGTCTGGAGTTATCAACTAGACTTTGTAGAGAAAGTGGGTATTTATTCTGAGATATATTAGACAGCTAGCTAAAGGAATGACAATTTATGTAAGTGAAATAAGATGAATGAGGGCCAAGGAGACACAAAGAAACCTTAGAACAAAACTCTGGATATTATAGGCATGTGTCCAATGCAAGTATAATTCATCAGGGATTGATTAAAGATAGTTGGAAGGAAAAGCAAAGGAAGTAAGTAACCTACCTGTATTTATATTTGGTTTAAAAAATTCACTCACACTCAAGAATATGAAATAGAAATGTACATAAGTAAACTACTGGTTATTTTCAAAAATTGAATGTAATTTTTATCTAGACAAAATATGGTATAGTATTTGTCTTGTGAGTTAAAATATTAGAAGTATTCTTATAATACTAATTTTCCAAGTTAAACTGTAAATGCATATGTATATCGTTTTCTATATTATATTGTCATTATGTATTAAAAACTATTTATATATGTGCATATTATTCAGGTCCCTAACTACTCTGTCTACTTATGCAAAACAGAGATCAGAGATAGCCCAGGGTCCTTGGCTGTTTGTGAATCAAAGCTTTGGCATTAACCCTGATGTTGAAACACATGTAGTGATTAGCTTCTGGTTACTATGACCTCATTGTTGACTTGCATGTTGTGTATAACATTCCTCTGAGTGTCTTGGTTTTCTTCTATCAGTTTTGGAAAGTTGAATGCTGACCCACTTGACCATTTGGAATGAACTATTGTATCCTGGTGGCACAAAGGTTCTTTAGGAAAGCACTGTACTATGTGCTCTACTATGGGAACTTACTTCTTTTATATGTGGATGGTGTGTAATAAACCATAAAAACTGAAAGATCTTTCTCCTTTGATTTCTTTATTTTCAAAATGATTGCATTTGGGGTATAACTTGCTCTTAAAACCATTTGTCCATTGGGTCTGGGAAGATGGCTTAGTGGTAGAGTGCTTGCTTTGCATGCATGAGGCCCTGGGTTCGATTCCTCAGCACCACATAAGCAGAAAAAGCCAGAAGTGGCACTGTGGCTCAAGTGGTAGAGCACTAGTCTTGAGCTGAATTGCTGAGGGAAAGTGCCCAGACCTAGAGTTCAAGTCCCACAACCAAGAAAAAAAATCATTTGTCTAGAAAATCACATCTTAATTCACTGCCATCCAACAAGTACCATTGGTAGATAACTATAAGTAAAACAACAATAGATATTTCCAATTTCAATACTAAATCCCATGTGTATTGAAACAAATATTAACTAGCTTATCAAGCAATGAATGATCACACTGATATTAGTAAGTTCATTTAACATTAATATTAGATGAGAAAAAAGTAAGTGGTGCTAGTGACTGAGGTTTGCGCAACACTGAAACATTGTTTCTTATTGTCACTGTTTTAACAATAGCAGAATATACTTAAATACCTGTTAAACAGATACTTGTTATTGTACAATAGATTATTCCATTGCCATTGTGATTCAAAATCATCTCCCCTTTACTTGGAGTAGCTAACAAAATATATCTGGTTATAAAGTTGTGCACTTATCTATGTAGAAACACAATTGTCTATTCCCTGAAGCTCTATTGTCATAAACAGACTTCGTTTGATGAAGTTCATTTGCTGAAGTAAATCTCAAGCTTTGTTTGAATGGCCTTGTTCTTTTACATTTGAAGAACTTGGAAAAAAATTAAAATGTACTTGGAACACTGCAACACTCCGCGAATAAGAGCAGATCCCTTCAAACCTCACAAGAATAATGCTAACTCTAACACTATTTATCTTCTAAGGCATTTTATTCTTGTAGTGTCATGTACTGTGTAGGCTCTCAAACCATATAAATTTTCCTTAATTTTCTCAGATATTCATGTGGTTTACCAAGTAGCACATCCCTCTTTTCTAGCGAAAAAGGTTATAAAAATCCACGAGGGCACATTTTTGCTGACTCTGATCAGCAAAGTGCAGTGATTTAACAGTACTTGGAACACAATGGACCTTCTACCAGCCATTGCTAATGGATAAAAATGAATGTGTTTATTAAATAATTAGCTTTAATGAACAGAAAACATTATAAACCGCAAAAGCAACATAGACGAAACAGACAATGAAATATCTTAGAGATTCTCAATTTGTATCACTGTCCACTCATTCATATTAACCTTTAAAATGTTTAGCTTTAAATTATGTTTGTTCTGACTTAAAATTCTACTAAATATGATAATCCAATCTCCTTCATGAATCTGCCCATTCTTCTGATATAGTCATTACAAATGATAATATAATGTAGATACATGTATACAAACCACATGCCATTATGGCGTCTTACACCACATCTCCTTAGAGATCCATGATTTTAGCATAGTTCTGGTGGAGAGTTTCTCAGACATTATTTTCTCCTATCCAACAAGCCAAAGAAATTGCTTTTCTACCCTATCACCTTCTCCATAGTTGTGAAAAGTCCCCCAGCATAACTAAACCCAGCCAAATTGTCCAGGGAGTGAAGACCCCTTAGGATCAGCATTTAAACACTGGGAAATTATTATCAATGAGCATATACTCCAGTCTCTCATTTTATTGTGAAATATTCTCTTTTTCAAAGGGAAAAACTCCACATGATAGTTAATGCAAATGCCAAACCTCATTTGATTATATCAACACCATTTTATAATAAAAATTCAAGTTATTATAAATCAAAGAGAAATTCTTTCATCTGAGAGGCTATTTAAGGATAACTCACAAATAAAAGCATGCCTAATAGTGAAAGATTGAA